GGCCCTGACCAGTTAAGCTTATGTTTGGATGAAGAAAAAGGGTATTGTCCTTGGACTTGGGACTCACAGTAAAGTTGCCAAAGTTTGGCAGACCATTGAGAATATGGTTAAGTCACAARTCCATGACAAAGCTTTTTTCCCTGAAAACTTTAACTAGCAATTGCCAACAAATAGAAGGAGAGCCTACAACTTGCCTAATTCTTCTCGAATAGGTGTTTGCTATGCATGAATAACACCAGAGCATAGCTCTACCCAGCCATCACCTCATCACTGGCTCTGTTAGTTTTAAAAGCTCAAGTTTACAGTTCCAAGTTTACTCACCCCAACATACCAACTCAGGGTCAGTAATGGTTTAAAGTGCCCCAATAAAGAACAGTCTATTAACTGATAAAATATAACACAGGAATGGGTCATATTGATATAATATGCCATTAGTCCAGCCTCAGGTAGACTAGAATGATAAACATGTATGGTGTTGGAACAGCTACCTGACTGTTATTAATTAGAGAATGTATTTGAAACTAAACATATGAAAACCTACTTATAAATGTAGTCAAGCCATAGAAATGGACAGGTTTTGGATCTGAGCTGCTCTTTTTGAACATGACGTTAAGACCAAGAGACTGCAGGAGTCAGATCCTACAGTGGAGCCAGTCTGTCCTAAGATTATGAATGTGACTAGCAGAAGGTGAACATTTTTGTCRTATCCCTGTTGTTTTTATAACTCTTCCCCCACTGAAAACTAAAAGGAAAAAAAAATTCCCAAGCCAAACACTGTTAGTAGAGTTAGAAGAAGGTCTCCTTGACTCCAAGAAAGAAAGGCAGTCAGCTAAATTATCGTAATTCTATATTCTTTCAGCACTGTATTTCAAGTTAGGCTCCATCTATCAGAGCCCCGAAGCAGTTCAATTAATTCTCACACACTTGTATTAGGAGTACACCCTGATTAGTGTTGCATTAGCAGATGCAAATCATTTTCTGGAGAAAGCAGGGAATTGAAAATTAAACAAACAAATATGCATTGCTTGGAGAAGGTCACCCCCCAAAACAGGAAAAAAAAAATTGTGTTGATCAAGCCTACCAGCAAAAAGCATCCTCATCAAGAGTCTGAAGAAGCATTTCATGGCACCAAAACATTCAGAAAGCCAGCATATTGTGTACTTTCACAAGCTTTGTTGAAAAACCTTTCGAAATATGTCACATTGAAAACCGGGGTCTCGTCTACTTGAAACAGACTGCTGTTTAACTTTAGCTTCCAATCTGGGGTTAATATTTTTAGAAGGACAAGCCACCACCCTTCCCAAAATATTTTCTCATTCATCGCTCTGCACAGCTTGTTATGTTGGGTTGTATGGATACAGGAGTCAGTAGATCTTAGAGCCATGTCTCATCTCCACCTTGCAAGGACTGTGGGAGCAAATTTGCCTGAATTGTCTTTCTGCCAGAGTGGATAAAAGAATTTGCCAGAAGGAGGCTTTCATGATAGGTATTACCTCCTTATAGACAAGTGCCAAAATTAAGTGGAGCTTCAGCATTATTGTCAAGATGTCAACATTAGCCTAATAATTAGCTCCCCTGGGTATTGAATTTTTTTTATTTCAAATTTTCTTCCTTTCAAAATATCAAGTCCTAAATCCTTAAAGCATTTGGGGGTACATTAGTGATCCCAGGTGCTTAGTCATTTGGGGATTGAACTTTTAAATTCTTAACCCTAGCAAGTATGGACATTATTCAGTATCAACCTATCCCCCCTCAAAAAATTTTATTATTCAAACTTGAGCAGCACATCAAAACAAAATTCATTACATAATAACTGATAAAAATGTATGCAAAGAGGATTGGGTGTGTTTGATTTCCTTCCTTTAGAGATGAGTCTCTCTTTGTACCTCCTCCTTGGCCCCAGATGCCTTTTTCAGAGACATTTGTTAACATTGATAAGGGGAAAATGGCCTTGTGCCCAGTTGATACTTTTCTGAGTCATTTAACCCATATTTCTTTATTCTGAATTTTCTTGGAAAAAAAGTTTTTTGTATGTTGACAACTGAGACATGCTCTTAGACAGAATCCTTTTTTTTCCCCTGTCAATTCTTTAGTGTTATTAACTGCAAAATTAAAATATTGAAAGTAGACTCATTCTTGGCTCAAAATCAAATCCTGTGGACATGTGAGATGCGTGCACTTCCCAGTGGCTGTAATCTGAGGATTTTATTTAAACTGTCCTTTGAATCTACAGTAATTTGGTGTTGGGGAGGAATAGGATCTTTATCAACAAAGGGCTGCCAGAACCCCAACTGCTTCTTGAGTAGCTATAATTGATGAATAATGTTACAACCAACCGTGCGTTTCAGTTTTTGCTCAAAAGGCTTTTCAGCTAATGCTGGTGGTATTCCATATCCATGTGTTCATCTCAGAGTGCAGTAGTTTCCATCTGATTTTCATTACTTTTCTTGAGAGGATCAGTTTTACAAGTGGAATCAGGAAAGCAGTCAAAGTAATTGCAAGTGGCAATCAGTGAAATATAACAATTTTTAGCTTGGGAACACATGTTCTATTATAAAGTAAAAAATATTTTCCCATAATTCCAAGACTTGTATTTTCCCAGGGCTAAAAAGAACAAAGCGTGGGTTCTAGGCTTCCTTTCATCACATGCTGATTCCCTGAGAAGTGCTTCTTCCTCTCCAGGGATAGAAAAGGCATTACCTCCCAAGGAAACCCAGCCCCTTTTTTAAAATTCCGATTATTTGAAAATGCTTTGTTGGAGTTGAAATTCCTTCCTCTATTGTTATTTCCTCTATAATTGAAAAGTTGAGTCTCCACAGAGTACATCTGAACTTATCTTTTGATGTCTCTGGCTGTTCTCATCCCCAACTCCTAACTTTTCCTATGCTGTTTTCATGTGCATTCCTTTCTCTCATCGAACGGTTTTGATTTCCTTAGTAACTCTGGTCATTCTCTATAGAAGCATCCCAATTTTGTCCATATCCTGTTAAAGGTATTATGCTAAAGAAAAGTTAGACTTCAAACCAGAATACATGCATTGAAGTACAGCTCTCTATTTGCTAAATGTTGGACCTGTGCAAGTTATTCTTTTCTTGTCATGAGAGGTAGAAAGGATGAATAAAACAGATGGTATAGTAATCAAAACAGGTGGTAAGCTAGTTAACTGACAGTTAAGGATTTATTACCTGTAAGAGTGGCATGAAGGGTTGTTACTGGAGTTCTGAGGTCTTGGGGGCTCAGGGCAGGTCTGGATGGAGGCTGCTTGAAGAAGGGAAGGCGACAGCTTGTTGTAAGGAATAGATGGCGAGAAGGTGGGAGAGTGATGTTTTCTGACAACCGAAGCAGGTCAGGGCCTAGAATATAGAAGCGGAGTGAAATTAGATGCATCTGGAGAAGCCCAGGGCATTGTAGGCAGGGTTGAAAGTTTGGATTTTATTTGGGTTATAAGGGAAAGCCATTGTTGGGGTTGAGGAAGAGAAGTTACAATATCTCAAGTATGTTTTTAGAAATTGTTCTCATGTTAGATGGAAAAAGACAAAAGTCAAAGTGAGTCATTTAGGAGGCAATTGTCCTAACCCAAAGACAGGTTCATGTGCTACTTCCTAACAACCCCAGGAGAGTTGAATGAGAAGCAGTGCTCACTAGAGGTTGGAGGCAGACAAGCCCATGGACTGCCTGTGATTAAACTCGACTTCAGTGCTTGCTTTGGCAGCACATATGCTAAAATTGAAATGATACAGAGAAGATTAGCATGGCCCCTGCGCAAGGATGACACGCAAATTCGTGAAGCGTTCCATATTTTTAGAGAGAGAAGGGAAATTGCATGGTAAAGGAAGGAGACCCTCATTGTTATACAAAATTACATAAAGAGGAAGTGAGGGGAAAGGGGAAAAAACAAGGGGGAGAAATGAATTACAGTAGATAGTGTAGAGAGAGAAAATGGGAGGAGAGGGGAGGGGAGGGGGGATAGTAGAGGATAGGAAGGGCAGCAGAATACAACAGACACTAGTGTGGCAGTATGTAAAAATGTGGATGTGGAACCGATGTGAATCTGCAATATGTATACAGGGTAAAAATGGGAGTTCATAATCTTCTTGAATCAAATGTATGAAATATGATATGACAAGAGCTTTGTAATGTTTTGAACAACTAATAATAAAAAAAAGGATTTGTATTTTAACAAAATAAATAAATAAACTCGACTTCACCAATGTAGGCAACTTGGCCAAGTTTTTTTTTTTTTTTTTCTCTTATGTATACCTGTTTCCTCCTTTATGAAAGGATAATCATGTCAGAACTTTGTGCATATTGCTGTGAGGACTAGAAGAGTTTACATATGAGTTAGCTCTTAGCTGAATCTTCAGCAAATGTTTTGTTATTGTGACATGTGCCACCCTATTTTTACTTTCTCCAATTCAGACATTCCTTTATTTAATTATTGTGTGGAAATGGGAAAGAACATGAGTAAGAAATGTGACCAGATTGTTTATTGTCCTTTGTGAACTTTTTTTTTCATTGTACTGAAGATTGGACCTAGTGCTTACAATCTACCATTGAACTATATCTCCAGATTCTCTTTATTTTTTGAGAMAAGGTCTCGCTGAGTTGCTGAGGATGTCCTTAAACTTTCAGTTCTGTCTCAGCCTCACAGTAGCTGTGATTATAGGCACGAGCCACCTTACCTGGCTGCCAACTACTTTTTGCTTGGAAAAAAAGGAAAAACAGAGAGCCTTGGAGAGAAAACGCATCCTGTGGGCCATCTATTATATTTTTCTTTCTTTGGTAATGTACCTTGCCATATTATAAATACCTTGAACATTTTTTAACATGATGGCCTTGATAAGACCTATTTTTAATCTTGCTTAAAACCCAAAGTTCAATATATTGTGACTCCTCTAGAATAATATGGAGTGCTAATATAACATTGCCATTAGGTGATACCCAGGTCATTCCCTCTGGCAATATGTTCACCTAGTTGAATGACATTCCTTGTTTTACAGGCATCCCAGGAAGTGACTATGTGAATGCCAACTACATAGATGGCTATAGGAAGCAAAACGCCTACATCGCCACACAGGGATCCCTTCCTGAAACATTTGGGGACTTTTGGCGAATGATATGGGAGCAGCGGAGTGCCACCGTTGTCATGATGACAAAGCTAGAAGAAAGATCCAGGGTAAGAACAAATTGTGCACCTCCTCAGGGTCTTCCCTCTGAGAGCTTCTGTGTTGCCTGTTTTATTCTGTTCAGAATCCAACCTAAGGCTGAACATTTTCTGACATACTAATTGTGAATGAGTATCAACAACTCTGATTAAGCTCTTCTTTAAAACTCATAGAATTTCAAAAAGGAAATTCTACCATGTTAGGATGTTTGTGGTTGCTAAAAGGAAAAAAGTAGCATTCAACCTCATAGACAGCTTGGTTTGACCAACTAAAATCATCTTGAAGCTCTTCTTAAAACTCATATTGAATGAGAACCMAGAGGTTTTGGGGAGAATCCCACTGGTATGTACTTCGCAAAATTTTCCACTTTTTCTTTCTCGCAATCTAMATCTAAAAATCCCTGTAAAAGAAGCTCTTACTTAAATTATTCAAATTAGCATAAATTAATTCAGGGCAGCCAGAAAAACGATGTGGCTTAACACAAGGCCAAGAATACACATAAATGTGTTGAGGGCATTTTGCTAGTTTAGGCTTTTCCAAGTCATTGCTTATTAAGATTCACRAAAGGAGTTTTATTAATCATATGGATCCAATATTAGGGTGCATGGCACACTGATTAAATGTCATTGATTTGGAAAATGAAGACATAATRCACAAGCAGTGTGCCTTGTTCCCCTCTACATGGGCAAATTTTATTGCATCYGATGAAAATCTTTAGCTTTGAGAGTTGAAGGAAAGGGGTCTCTGAAAACTCAYTGAAGACACATGTGTGCTCCTTGAAAGTTGGGATTTATCAAGGTGGAGTTTGAGGCCACAGGTGATAGCTCTGTCTCTCTGGTCATGGTAGTCTCAACAAGCATACTTAGAAGGAAGCCAAAGCTCAATTCMCCACTTGACAATTGAGATTGCTTAAGCTCAACCCTGGCAGTGTCTCTTAGCCTAGGTTTGTACATGAGGGATGAGTTAAAGGCTGCCCAGGAGATTGATAAGGGAAAAGTTCACATGTAGGAAAATATTAAAAAGCTGCAACTGTTACCTTAAAGATGGAAAATCAAAAGGTATGATGCAGGCTGGTTTAATAGACCTAGAAAGCAATGCAGTCTTTTCAAAATTTCAGAATTTTGAAATACTGTCTGAAATGAACTTATATAAAAATGGCCATAGTGCTAATGACAAATATTTCATGTTTCCAATGAAAGCCCTAATCAAATAATATAAATGGATTCATTATTGATTGATACTCAGGGGTATCCCTATATAGCAAGTGGTTTCTTTAAAAACAACCCTGACCTAAATATTTATGCTTGAATATAACCGTTAATGATTTTAACAATATCTAATGTGTTAAATGCATTGATGTTTCATAAAAACTGTGAGATAAACACTAGTATGAACTCCACATTACATACAAGTATACTAAAGCCCCGAACAAAAATTACAAAAGGTCACCCAAGGTCATTGAGCTACCAGGGTCAGAGATATGAACTGAAGACAGACACTCTGGCTCCAGAACACAAATGCTTCACCATCAGGCCACACTGCCTGGTGACTCTTCTCTTAAGCTGAGACAGCTGAACTATTCTATTACAGCATGCATGTAAATCCATCCTACCCAGTCTGCTCTGCCTAGAGATACCAGCTGGTAACAAGCAGTCATTTGCAAAAGCTGTTTTCAGTAAAACACACATTTTATCTTGACACTGCAGGCCTTCATTAAACTGTGCACAGAAACTTGTTTTGAAATAACCAAATGAAATTCTGCCCCCTTTCTCCCTAATTGCTTCTAATAATAAAGTTAGTTCTGACTGCCCCCACTGCCACTGCAACATCTGATGGTAATGAGCAGTTCTTGGCGGAAGGCATTGTGACTTAAATACCTTCGGTTTATCTTTCTGTTGCAGACTACCTTTCCCACCCCCTCCGACAGAGGAACTTATTTGGAAGTTACTAAATGAACCTTTGTTTGCTCCCTTCATTAATTACTCTTTGCTCTTGCAAGTTAGCTTTCTTCTTTGTTAAATGGCCTAAGGAGGCCAATTAAAATGCTGTCTTGTGATTTTTATTCTGTGGCGGTTCAGCCTGTACCCAAACTTGAGATGACCTGCATAAACCAGCAGGCAGTTTGGGAGTCTGGGTCATCATCAATCTGAAGATACAAATGAGCCCTGACCCCTGACACCAGTAAGCTCTTTGTTCCCCATTCTAGAACACTTGGGGAGAAGTGTCCAAATGTCACTGGGAGTTTGAACAAAAACACTGGTGCCTCCAATTGTCTCATCTGCTCTTCTGTCTTCCTCTCTCACATCCTCCTGCCTCACCCTTTCCCTGTCCAGTTGCTTTTTCTCCCTGAAGTAACATGAAGAAAGAGGATGGCATTTCTAGACTCTCAAACAAGAACTTGGATTAAATTGCACTATAAAAACAATGTTATAAATAGTGGTTAGTTGTTACTGAAATATATAGCTCCATATTTTAGGAATGTTATGGGTTGTGTGGGCTGACCTGGGAACCCAAGCAAATTCTCAATTCCCAGCAGCCAACTTCAAAGCAGACATTTGAACCTGCCTGGCTCTTCTCAGAAACTGCCCTGGAGTCTCCCCCATAAAGGGAGGTAGTCCAGGTAGTTTAAACAAACCATCCTTCCAATGACTGAAATTTTATTATTTAGATTAAGGCTCAGGTTCTCACAATAATATTCACCCCATGGTATATGAAAAAGTACATGTTTATTAACACTTTTATGAATTAGACGTGTGCAAGATACCTGCTGAATATAGATATGGGGTGAGGAATAGAGAAGGAAAGGGAAGGCAGCATGGTTTCATGGAAGGCTGCACAGGGACACCATCAGAGAGAAGGGCACCATCAGGAATGACATAGTTCCAAGTAGGGGTTCTTTATAGTCAGATGTGTCAGCTCAGATTGCAATTCTAACCCATATAGCTATATAACAATGAGCTTATTACTTGACTCCTCAAAGTCTCATTTCTCATTTTTGGATTACATGAAAAGGTTGTGTGAGCATTGGCTGAGATAAGGAATGTGGTGGCAAGGTGTCTCTGTGAGTATCAACTGTTATTGTTTGCTACAGACTGGTTGCTTTACCAATGCAACTTCAGTTTCCCCCTAAAGCTGGCCTCTGAATAATTGTTTTTGTTCCCAAATGAAATGAATTTTTGTTTTTTTGTGGTCAACAGTGAATCCCAACCTACCTCACCGAGCCACTGCGCATGGCTAATCCTGCCCGCTGTTCCCAGTACAAGCCCACCATATGCATTTTGGTCGAGAAGAAAGGGGAGCTCAAACCGTGGGATTCTTTAGTACTTGCTTTCCCCCTGGACTCAGTCTCCAGAATGTAGGTCCTGGCACAGGAACTTGTTTGTCTGCAAGTAGACCAAAATAAGACATTCTGGTTGCTACTTTCACTACAACCATATCTCAAGCAATACAGTGGGAAATCATGAGTAACACAGAAATGGGCTACACGTGTGATGATTGTCACTACACATAATATATTTTTGACACCATATATCCTTTCAGTTCAGTTTTGCATCTTGCTTATTTCATGATGCTAAGAAATTCTCCCCTTAAAACCTGTTTGCTTTGTCTTGGTCTGGCTCACTTCCTGCCTGAAGTTTGTCGGCATTACTATAGCCCTCCCTGCACTAGAACAGCTCACTGAGACACAAAGGCTGCGAGGATCAACAGCACATGCTAGAAGTTTCAGTGGTCTCTTTCTAGGAAACTGACAATTCTTAACATGGAATTGTTGAAGAAGCCCTCACAAGGGTGTAGTGCAGTTTGGGACCTAAGGTAATCATTTGAAAACTTAAGTTCTTTGTCTTTCAAATGCCATCACTCTCTCTCTCTCTCAACTGTGGCCTTGAAAGAATCCTCAGCTTAACTGGGACTACTATATGGTGGATACATTTCAGTTCTCAACCCTAAGAAGTATAAGTTGAATGAGTCTCACTATAGTATATAAAGAAATAAGATTTTTAAAATAAGTCTAAAATCTAGAGATTTTGAAGGTAAAATATGATCCCTGCCTGAAACACATAGATCAATTTAAGACCAATTTCAGGCTGTTGTAGAGTGGACCCTGTGATATAAAATACTGTTAGTGGGTTTCATTCCACAGTTTCCATCTGTATTGCCAAAGCCTCTCAAGTTCTGCGTAGTTCATTGATTCTGGAGCAAGTCATTCCTGTGCCCTAGAATGTGGTCTCTAATTGTTTCCATGTTTCATAACATGCCCATAAGCACATGAATTGGTCTGGGCAACCACAGAGAGGGAAGAAAAAGTTTGGAAAAAATGAGGCACTGGAAGGAGAGTAAACTGTATACACCTGGGATTTCCACTCCAAGGATATTATTTGTGGTGGCTGAGTACATACAAGATTGACAGACACCCCCCGCCACACACACACACACACACACACACACACACACACACACACACAAACCCACACCCCTGCCAAAGAATTACAGTCTCCAAAGAAGAATTTGCCATGTGATTCCTGACCCAAGTAGCTCTATTAATTGATTGTCCACTTATTTTTTACCCCTTCATCTATCTGCTTTGGCAGTTTCCCTTCTATTTTGTCTCCTATCTTAAAATACAAAAGACAGAGGGAAGGTGGAAGCCTCCCGCTTGGCAAATTCTGGAGCAGCAGGATGAGTGTTAGATGATGAATAGCTTAGCAGAGTTAGGGGAAGTCTGTCTCTCCCTGTCCTCTCCAGCCAGCCTGCATTCACTGATGACTGCTGAAACTGTTGGTGCTGATGTTGTCTTTCAAACTGATGGATTGACTTACAAAGCTATTATTGTGGTTGAACTTAATGCTAGAAATGTATGGGATGAGGAAATAAATCTTGATACCCGACAAATGGGACATGATTAGAATTGTCATGCGTTGGGGGCCAAGTTTTCAAAATGAATGACTAGAAATTAGGAATTCTATACTTGGCTTTCAAAACATCTAAATCCTTTTCATTTCCAAATTGAGAA